CGCGCCTGCCACAGCTTCTCAAACCACTGCCATCTCAAATTAACCTCTCCCCCCGGCTGTGCACATCACTGGGCAAGCAGGTGGGGGACACGGGAGCAGGAGCCAGCGGCAGGGAGGGGGCAATTTCTCTCTCCTGACAAAATCCATTTCCCAGGGTTCTGAGCCTGTGACAATCTTCCATTTACTCTGGGAGGCTTGAAGTTGTTTGTTGTGGGGGATCACGTGGGCATGTCCTGTTCCGGAGCCAGGGAGTAGGGATCTGGTTTTCCTGGGCCTTATGCTGAGGAGCTGAATGTCAGGCGGGGCCCCCAGAGACTGAAGCAGAGGGTAATTATCACTTTTCCTCCATGACTACATTGCAGGACTCAGCCAGCAATTGATTTTTTTTCTTTTTTTAGTACAGATATTTCACTGTTTAATTGGTAGTGACACAGATGGCTGGCTCTCACCAGGGGGCCACAGACCCGAGCCTCCCAAAATTCCCGCAGCCCTCAGGGCTTCCTTCTCCCTTCTCCATCTGTGATCCCCTCAAGTCCTTAGCCAGGTGAGGAGAGGGCAGGCCCGCTTGCCTGCACACTCTTTCTCCACAAAACAAAAGTAAGAATGGGAATCTGAGAAGAGCTCTGGGGAACCAGTCAGGCAATTCCCAGCTGTATTCTGAGAGTCACCACTGAGCTGGACGCTGTGGAGAATTCAGAAGTGAGGAGACAATGGACTCTGGCCCCAGTCAGCATACTGGGAGATAAGATAACAGGGACACTTCAAGAGGGCGATTAAGTCTCAGGGCTCCTAGGAACCATATTGCTGAGGGAATGAGGCCTGGACTCTGCAACAGCATGCTAACCCTCCCATGATCCAGTCCCACCCCAGTTCTCCAACCTTGTCTCCCACTGTGCCCCTTTCTGTACTTAACCTGAACTGTTCGCTAAACTGGAGGACTTGAATGTTTGGGGTTTTGTGTGTGTGTGTATGTTTTTGGTAGAGGGGAGGTCTCAGGTGCAAAAAGCTGATTGTATACCTCAGTTCATGGTACACTGCCATCATTAATCCATGGAAGGCCCCGCTTGTGGTACTGTTCTCCTTCCCTCTCGTTCCCTTCTCCTCCCATAGGCAGCCACGCTATGTAGACTTCATTTATTGCATGTGTTTTTTAATGTCCTTTAATGGAGTTGTCAGAGTTTTTCCCATGAAGATATTCTTACAGACTAGATGTGCTTAAATTGCAACTGAGAATGGACTTTATTTTTGTTATTTGTAGTTGATTATTGCTGGAGTAGACAGTTATTGATTTATGTAACTTTTTCTTGTAACTTTGCTGAATTCCTTAATTTTAACAGTTTTCCTCTTGATTCTACTGCATTGTCTATTAAAATGGCTATATCGTCTCTATAAATACTGGTAGTTTTGTCTCTTCCAATACTGACATATCTTATTTATTTTTCTTATCTTATTTCATGGGTCACGCCCTCCAACACTATGTTGGTGGTAATAGTGGGTATCCTTGACTTGCTCCAGACTTAAGGAGAGCCTAAACAAAACACCTGAAGTCTCTCTGCTAAATATGCTGTTTCATGTGGGGGTTTTGGTAGATAGCCTTTATCAAGTTAAGGAAGGTCACTTTTGTTACTACTTTTTGGTTAATTTCAACCACAAATAGGAATCTAACTTTATCAAATACTTTTTAAAAAACTATTAAGATAGTTATGTAATTTCCCCTTCCATAATCCCATTAATGTTTTCTAATGTTGAATCATCCTTACGTCTTTAGGATAAACCTTACTTGATTATGGCATGTTGTTGTTATGTGCCATCAAGTTGATTCCGACTGATAGAGACCCTATATGCCACATAGGGTTTCCAAGGAGCACCTGGTGGATTTGAACCACCAACCTTTTGGTTAGCAGCCTGAGCTCTTAACCACTACACCACCAAGGCTCCATATTATGTTTAATTCACTTTGTAAGCATGTAATCTATGTCATTGCATTTTCAAATTCACTCATGTGTAATTGATCCTAATAGTCTTTTTAAATTATTTTTACTATTTCTCAAATCTCTAGTATGTCTATAGTTATTTTTCCTTTTTTTATTCGGTATTTTATTTGTATCTCTTTTTGTCAGTGTTGCTGAAAGTTTATCTATCTAGTTTAGTCTTCTCAAAAAGAACCAGTTTTTGATATGATGTTTATAGAAGAACTTCCAACTGGCCCATCTCCATGTGAGGCAGTATGACACAGTGAAATGGAGGCTCTGGAGTCAGACGAACCTGACTAATTTCAATTCCCTGCTCTGCCACAGACTAGCTGTGTGACCATAAACACTTTACTTTACCCCTCTGTGTTTACTTCCTTGTCTATAAAATGGAAATAACAGTCCTTCCTGGTGGAATAGTTGTGAGGATCAAATCAGAAAATTTGCGTATAGCACTGAAGTAGCATGGGTACAGAGCCAAGTGTTCGGTGCATGTTAAGTCCTGTCCTCCATGCCTTTGTGCTGTGCCGTTTGCCTGAAATGCTCACTTCCTAGGCCTTTGCTAGCCCACGTGGTTACCTGTGTGCATATGAGTGCCTGGGTGGTGCAAACAGTTAACCCACCCAGCTGCTAACTGAAAGGTTGGCAGTTCAAGTCCACCCAGAGGCACCTTGGAAGAAAGGCCTGGAGATCTATTTCTGAGAAATCAGAAGTAGAAATCCTATGGAGCACAGTTCTACTCTGAAACACACGGGGTTGCCATGAGTCAGAGTTGACTTGATGACAACTGGTCTGGTTTTCCTTGAGCAGGCGCAGCTCCCACTCACCCCCTCAGCCTCGTGCCATGTGTGGGCACGACCTGCACATCCTGCCTGGCAGCCCTGCCCCTGCCCTCAGCTCAGCTCAGCTTTCCTCCACGCTCATTGTCATGTTGTCCGAAGGCTTCACACTCTTCAGGTTTCAGCTTCCTCAGGGAAGTCTTTCTTGTTCTCACCTGGCTGGAAGTAATCTCTCTTTCTCTCCTTTGAACCCACATCACATGCATCTCTTAAGGCATTTATCTTCTTTTACTTTATGTTTTAGTTACTTTGCACAAATGTCTTATCAGTCCGACTGGATTAACCTGTTGAAGTTAGGGATTGTAGTTTAGCTGTCTTTAGATCTTCATTTCTGCCTGTGGGGCTCAATAGATGTTCCTTGTATGCAAGATTGTCAAACGTAGCAGCTAAGAAGAGCCTAAAATGATATTGTGTAAACTGGGGGAGGGAGGTCATTAGAGGCAGGGGCGATGTGAAAGCACAAGTGTGAATGTGGTGCAAGAAGACTAAACAAGATGGTGATGGTGACAGTGACAGTAATGGTGACGATGGCAGTGATGGCAGTGACAGTAATAGTGATGATAATGATGGTGACAATGACAGTGATGATGCTGATGATGGTGATGATGGTGAGGATGACAGTGATGGTGACAATGGCAGTGATGGTGATGACAGTTATGGTGACTATGGTGGTGATGGGGAACATTAATTGAGCTTATCCTGCACCATGTTAGACACTTCTGTGGTTTATCTCACTGTGTCCTTCCAACAACCCTATAGAATAGGTGATACTATGATTGTCCATGTTGCTGTTGAGGAAGCTGGGCACTGACTGGTCAGCGGTGGAGATGGTACACCAGGCCTGCTTGACCTGACCTCAGAGTCTGTACTTTAAGCTACGACTGCACCCAGACTCCTCCAGCTGCCGTTTATTGAGGACTCACTGCATAGCAGGCTTGTGTTTGATGCTTCACAGGTGTTGTCTCTAATCCTCACAGCAATGCTTAAAGTACAGGGTATCCTCACTTTGCAGATGAGGAAACGGAGGCTCATAGAGGTTAAGTGACTTGCCTAAGGTCACATACATTGAAAGTGGTGGAGCCAGGGTTATAACCAGATCTCTCAGCCCCCAAAGCCCATGCCTTTTCCTCAGCATCATGGCCACAGTGTTTGGGGCCAACAAGAAAACCCTTGCAGCTGGAGGGGAAGAAGGTTTGTGTAGGAAAATGGAGGGAGCTGGTGGCGCCATGGTTAAGAGTTCGTCTGCTAAAGAAAAGGTCGGTAGTTCGAATCTACCAGCCACTTCTTTAAAACCCTGAAGGGCAGTTCTACTCTGTCCTATAGGGTCTCTATGAGTTGGAATCAACTTGACAGCAATGGTTTTTTTTGTTTGTTTGTTTGTTTTTAGTGGTGGGGGAGGAGGATAGAAAGGAGTTCATGGGTAGTGCAAACAGTTAACACACTCAGCTACTAACCCAAAGGTCAAAGGTTCAAATCCACCCAGAGACACCTTGGAAGAAAGGCCTGAAAATGTACTTCAAAAAAAATCAGCCATTGAAAATCCTATGTAGTACAGTTCTACTCTGACACATGTGGGGTCACCATGAGTCAGGAGATGACTCCCCCTCAACTGGAAAGATGGAAAGTCAGATCTGCCCCAGGCTGCAGAGGGCCTGGCCTTCCAGGGTGGGAAATTAGGACCTTTGTAAATGAAGGATCTGAGCAGTGACTTTGATTGGACGACGGGGTGGAATGGACCAGCCTGGAGCTCTGCCTGGCTGGGCACTTGGGGAAGCACAGGGCTTTGCACAGCTGCAGGGACATCAGAGCCCCCGGGCCTGCTGAGAATGTGATATTCAGCAGATCTGGGGCTTGTGCAAATGAGCCCCTCCCTTGCATCTCAGCATCTCCTGCTCCTGCTTGCTGCCCTAGGGTGTCGGAACCAACTTTCCTCAGCCTCTGATCTCCTCTGATATGGCTTCTGAAGAGCTGCTACAAAAATTCCCAGGATGGGGTGGTAGGGATTTGTCAAGGGTGAAGTGCGAGCAGCACAGCCTGCACCCACCCAGAGTTTAAACTGGCTCTGAGGTGGTGCAGATGGTGTTTGACTCTTGGCCACCAGTTACCCCAGGCCAAGCTGGTCCTCTCGGGGCCAGGGTATGTCCGTGGCATGTTGTCATGCTGTGCCTCTCCGGTGTCCTGCCCTGTCTAGGTTGTTGCCGTGGTCATGGACCTCTTCACTGATGGTGATATCTTCCAAGACATTGTTGATGCTGCCTACAAGCGCGGAGTCCCAGTGTACATCATCCTGGATGAGGCAGGTGTGAAGTCTTTCCTGGAGATGTGTCAGAGCCTGGAGCTCACCAACTTCCGTATCCGGGTGTGTTACACCACTGGGAAATGAGAGAGAGACTCCCTCTAGCTCCTCTTTCTGCCTCCTCCCCAGTTCAGTGGCTCAGGGGAACTTCAAGATTGCAACCCCTTTCCGTCCATCTAAAGCCTTGCCTCATGAACGGGTGACTGCTAAATCACATGCCCAGCTTACATCTTCTCCCAAGGCTGCTGAGGCTGATGGAGGCAGTGCTGGCCCTGGGGTGCTGTGGAATCTCTGAGTTCACTGTGAGGTCCAAAGCATGGGGGCTGGGTTGTTTTCTGGGGACCTTTGGGAACAGGCAGGAACCACCCTGGGCTTGTCCACGCCCAAAGTAAGATTGTGTGGCTTCCTGCCACTCTCCAAGTGGGGCTCCTGTGAGGCCTTGGGAAGCAGAGAGTCCATGAGGACAGGAACCAGCAGGCAGGGCCCAGGGACAAGCAAAGACTTGGTTCAAACTAGGTGGCTGTGCCTTTCTCTTCAACAGAACATCCGTGTCCGCTCTGTGACAGGTGTCGGCTTCTACTTGCCGATGGGAAAGGTCAAAGGGACCCTGTCATCTAGGTTCCTGATGGTGGATGGTGAAAAAGTGGCCACTGGATCTTACAGGTGAGAAGGGCCTGTGAGGCCTTTATTCATGGTAACTGTTCAGAAAGATGTCAGACAGGAACCACCAAGGTCATAGGCTTAACAGGTATCATTGGACCTAATGACAAAGAGCCTCCTGGCCAGTCCCTCCCCTCAAACTTCCTGGTTGCTGGATTATTCCAGATAGAGAGTCAAACTAACTCTTACTGAGCATTAAGCACTAGAGTCCCTGAGTGGGGCAAACGGTTCAAGTGCTCGACTGCTAACTGAAAGATTGGAGGTTCAAGTCCATCCAGCAGTGCCTAGGAAGAAAGGCCAGGTGTTCTACCTCTGAGAAATTAGCTGTTGAAAACCTTATGGAGCACAGTTCTGCTCTGACACGCATGGTGTCACGCTGAGTTGGCATTAACTCTACAGCAGTTGGTTTACTTTTCATGGTCCACAGCACCCAGTTGCATTTTGAGGCCAGTTGTTAGGTGAGACATGCAGAAAGTACAACGGACCAGATTTGGGAAAGAAACGTGAGGATGTGGCACAGAAGGAGCAGTGTCCAGGATTCTGATTCAAAATTAAATCAACAGGAACATGTGAACCTGTATCTATGGAGACCTTGCCCTCCAAGTAAATTAAAATCTAGATATGGGGAGAAGAGACCTGGTCACATGAAGCAGTCCTCCCCCTTGATTAAAGTATGGGAGTTTGCAAATACTAAGGGCTCTAAAAATTCCACAAAGGACCAATAAGGGATGGAGTTAACATTAACAACAGCAGCAGCTGCAGTTACTATTCATTACACATGCATGTATGTGCCAGGTATGAGCGAAATGTTTTATACAAGTTATTTCATTTGAGCCTCATGATAACTCTGTCAATATAGGTCCTATTAGCCCCACTTTATAAGGGATGCAAGAGTAGAAACAGTAAATGTCAGAAAACCCAGGCCCGCCTTCTCATGCCCTTTCCCTGCACCCACCACTGCCTGCCTTTCACATTAGAGAACGAGGCCTGAACAAGTGGAGGGTTGGGGCCAGTGGAGGGCGAGCGGTCCAGTGCGAAGGCCAGAGACCCCTTCCCCAGCCAGTGAGGAGCCCGGCTGAGGTGGTCCATCATTTGGGGGTGGGCTTGCTGAGGGGCTGCTGGCAGGGTTAAGCAGCAGGCCTAGGCACATGTATCTTGCTTTTCTGTTCCCATGTCCCCAGGTTCACATGGAGTTCCTCCTACGTGGACAGGAACCTCCTCCTTCTCCTGACAGGGGAGAACGTGGAGCCCTTCGACGTGGAGTTCCGAGAGCTGTATGCCATCTCTGAGGAGGTGGACTTGTATCGGCAGCTGAGCCTGGCAGGAGGTGCCGGCAGGCTTGGCCTCAACTACTCCTCCACTGTGGCACGCAAGCTTATCAACCCCAAGTATGCCTTGGTGTCAGGTGGCCGCCACCCCCCCGGGGAGATGATGCGCTGGGCCGCCAGGCAACAGTGGCAAGCTGGCGGCCATCCGGAGGGGCAGCAGGAGGGCAGTAGAGCTGGCGAGTCGACCTGCTCGCGCCTGGAGAGCTTCCTGAACGACCTGGTTAGGCTGGAGCAGGTGCTGCCCCCCGTGGAGCCCATTCCCTTGGGAGGGCTGAGCCGGAAGGATACCAAAGTGGTCTCTCACCTGCACGTGGACCTGAAGCCTAAGCCCCGGGAGGCGCTGGCCCGAAATGGCAAAGGAGAAGCTGCCAAGGGGGAGGCCACCCCGGCCAAGGAGGGCAAGTGCTTTGGCAGGAAGCTCTTCAGCCGATGGACCAAGAGGACAGCGGCGCCCAATGGCATGGCCAGCTCTCTCTCCACCGAGTCCTTTGCTGAGGTGGAGTTTAAGATGGGGAAGAGGCCCATTGAGGACTCCAGTGCCAATCTCTCAGGTGAGCCGTCTTCCCTCAGCCCTGAGTCTGCCCTTGTCAAGCAAAGCCTGCTTGCTGGCTCTAGGGTCAGACAGCTCCAGGTTCCCATGCTGGCTCTGGCCTTATCTGCCTTGGGGCCTTGGGCAAGTCATTGCAGCTCTGTTTCCATCTCCTCTTCTCTAAATGGGCAGAATGACACCTGCCTGCCCAGCTACTCTGTGGCTATAACATGCTTAGTACAGTGGTGGGCACAGCCTTGTCTGGGAGCTGAGATTCCTACTACTGGAGGGCCTTTCAGAGTAACTGAAGTAAATAAAGTAAGATGAGAAAACTGCTTTGTAAGTGAAGAAAGAGAAGCACGGCACAGTAGAGTGTCAGAGCAGAGGCTCAGCCCTGGCTCTGAGTAGGGCTCTTTCTAGTTAACCTTGTTACTGGCCAGATCACTGTCAGGACTAACCTGGTCAGACCCGCCCTGCCCTCATGCGCTACCCCACCAATACCCTTTCCCGCTCTCCTCCGTTCTGTAGTCGGCAGTCTGTCTTGGCCGTCCCTGGGTTTGTTTGATAAGTGATGTTTGCTATGGTGTTTCTCTTCCGGGAGAGATGGATCCTGGTGGTAGTGTCATTCTGGCTGCCTCTGTGGGACTCCCTAGAGGCCCTGCCTGGCCTTTCTTTCTTTCCCAGGAGGTTCTGTGTCCCTGAGTTGAAGGGGTTTCCATGTTGAGATGTCTGCTTCTGTGGCTATGGGCTTTGCAGTGATGAGAACTGGGTTTTCTGGGCTGGCCAGGCAGGTGGTGGCAGGGCCCGAGGGCTCGCCCTGGGCAGCCTGCGCTCTCCCAGGACTCCAGCACCCCCACCCCTCAGCTTTGACCTCACTGTGAGTGCCTGGAGTGCAGGGATCACACCCCCCTCCTCTCTGCGGCCTCCCCAGCGCCTGCTACGGAGCCTGATGTGCCCAGTCTGTGCTCACAGCCACATTGGCTTCTTGAAGTTAAAATGGGCCTGAGATTCTCTGTGAATCTGGGCGCAGCAGGAATCCAGTGCTGTTCCTCATTCAGCCAGGGGACATTTCCCCGAGGCCTCCACATGCCAGGTACTGACTAGGTACTCGCTCTTGCCATGCCCTCACAAACACCCTTTGAGCACGGAGGTGGCAGTGGAGGCTCTGAAAGGTGACTCTAGTGGTCCCAGGGCCCATGTCCTTTGAGGGGACTGTGTCCGGCCCACTCCACTGCCTCCCGGGCTCTGGCTTCCCCAGCGCCAGATGCTGTGCTGCGCTGCTCAGTGCCTCCCGTTTGGAGGAAGGGTTGCCATGGTGAACACCTGGCAGGGAGGGGGAGGGGCGGCCCAGCCACACAAGGGCTGTTTCCCAAGTCCTGACTGGAGGTGAGGTGGAAGCATTGTCTTTGTCAGCCCCCTCACCCTGAGGTGCTGTTTCCATAGAAACAAAAGGCCCTTTGTCATGTCCCTTCCCTGCCGCCTTCAGCATCTCTTGGCATCGGGTTCCCCCTGCTCCCAGGACTTGGGTTGTCACTGTCACTGCTGCTGCCCTCTGAGTGTTTGCCCACCGTGCCCAGTACCAGCCAAACCAACCTGGACTGTGCCCTTGGGAAGCGCCTCCCCGGAGCACCTGAACCCCGGATCACGCGTGTGAGAACAAGCCAGCATGAGAACGCACCTGCACAGACAGGTGCGAGGGACACCCTGCAAGATCACCCAGGTCCTTCTGCATCCTTTACTAGGAGCAGAGTGGCTTCACCCAGCACAGCCTCCGCCCACCTGGGTGGACATCTGAACCTGAGTCCTGCAATTCAAGTTCCCTAATGAGGTCTTCCCTCTCCCTGCCTCTCTGTTCCCCAAAGGCAGCGGCGAGGGAAGGGAACTCCTGTCCCCAAAGGCCCTTTTTAGTGGCCTCCAGAAGTCCCTGGGTGGTGCAAGCTGTTAACACGCTCAGCTGCTAACCGAAAGGTTGGAGGTTTGAGTCCACCCCCAGGTGCCTCAGAAGAAATACCTGGCCGTCTACTTCTGAAAAATCAGCCACTAAAAACCCTATGGAGCACAGTACTACTCTGACACACATGTGGTCACCATCAGTTGGAGTCACCGCCACGACCACTGGTTAACTGGTTAGCCTCTCAAATATGTGAATGCGGCTAGATTGTTTCAGGGCGTCCCTCTGACAGCCAGAGCTGAGCAGCTGGAACTCATGCGAGACGGGTCTGGCTCCTGACAGCTCAGGGACCTAAGCTTGATTCACTCTCTCCTAGTAAGCTTTCAACTGTCATCTTCAGGTTTTCCCGTAGGGCCCCCGCCCAGCGAAAGACCTCTTTTCCACCAGGAACATTCAGAGCAGCATCAGAACAGCTGGCCTGTTGATTTCAGCTGCCAATACAATGCTCTCCATGCCCTGGATGCATCCTTTCCCCTCCCTGGGCCCATTTCCCATCTGGAAGAGGAGGGTTGCACTAAGAAGGGTTTCGAGGCCCCTTCCAGCTCAGATCTGTCTCTGTCCATGGCCCACGCTGTCCATTCTATCTCTACTGCTCTCTTGTCATGGGAGAATGTGGATTGATGACAGAGTGGGTGAAAGAGAAAAATAGAAAAAGCTAAGAGCTGACAGCCTGTAAAATTGCTTGATAAGAAGTATATAGTTGTCAAACAGCATGCAAATTTAGGCAAACCCAGTTGTGGCCCCTGGGAGAACCTTACGGAATTTGCTTTCTTTAGGGCTGGGGATCCAGGTGAGGGGCCGCCTTGTGGTTTGAGGGCTCACACCTCCCTCTAGTGGCAGAAGCTGACAGCCTTTTTCCTTTTGCCTCTTCACCCGGCTAGACCTGGTGGTGCATTCAGCACCTTTCCTCAGGCTTGCCACCTGTGCCCATCTCGGAGCTCTGGACAGAACCTGTGGGCAAAGATCCCGAACCTCAGGGAGCAGTAGTCCCCTAGAGGTCCTTGTTAGAAAGGCATATGCCCGGGCCTCACCCTTGCAAAGGGTCTGTACGGCAGGGCTCAGGAATCTGCATTTTAAGCAAGCGCCCTGAGTATGTTCCCATGTAGGAGTCCTCGGGCCAGCAGACTATGGGGACATGGCAGAGACTCAGATAAGGCCCCTGCCCTCAGGGAACTGCCAGCCAGTGAAGGAGATTGCAGGTGGTGTGCCTGAAGCCCTATTCTGTCCCTCAAGGCTCACTTGGATGCCCTGGCTTGTTTGCTTCCATCACGCAGACCTTAGCATGCTGGGTAGCAGTGGTTGCTTTGAGTGCGGGGACCATGGCTCCTTTTGCTTTGTTTACCGTGTTGGCATACTGCCTGGCACAGAGTAGACACTCAGTAAATTTTGGTGGAACTACTGTATGAATAAATGAGTCAAGGAGGCACATAGTTGGTAAGGCAGTCATGGGCAGGAGTCTGACTGGTCCCTCCCCAGCTTCAGTTCTGGGGGCCCCCAGGCAGTTGGATGGAATGGGTGGGGTGAAGGTGGGCAGGGGTTGGCAGGGCACCTTAGCACAGTGCAGCATGACCTCAGGGGGGTGCGGGGGCCCAGATCACTGAGGTTAGCAGGACCATCCTCAGGAGCCTGCTTCCCAGACAATCTGTCCTCTTGTCTGAAAGAAGAAACCCTCAGAGCCTCAGCCTTTGGGCCCAGGGTTCCCAGATGGCCTCAGGAAATGCTCTGCCTTTTCTGGTTGCCTGTTCCTGGGGTCTGATGGGTTTGGCCCAGCACATGGCACGGGTAATGTCTGCCATGTCTGGTAGGCACTTGGGCTACTTACCAAGCAGCAGAGTCTCTGCCCTCAGGGAGACCACTGGGAAATGGCCGACACTCCTGAAGATAAGAAAAGGAAGAAAGAAACAAACTTCTACTGAGCACCTGCCGTGTGCTAGGTAGGAAAAAAAACATCCAAACCAGTTGCTGTCAAGTCGATCCCAACTCATGGCGACCCCACGTGTGTCAGTAGAACTGCTCCACAGGGTTTTCAATGGCTGTGAGCTTTAGGAGGTAGATCACCAGGCCTGTGTTCTGAGGCACCTCTGGGTGGATTCAAACTGCTGACCTTTCAGTTAGTAGCCGAGAACTTGACCGTTTGCGCCATGCAGGGACTAGGTAGACATGGTGCGGAATGCTGTCACACAGACTTGTATAGTCCTCACAACCACCTGGCCTGATGACAGTATTTCCCATACAAGACCCCTGAAATTCAGAGAGGCAAGCTCCTGTATCCACAGTCACACAATGAGAAAAGGGCAGTGTGATCTCTTGACTCCCAGGGCCGCCTTCAGAGTATGAGGTCTGTCTCTGGAAGTTTAAGGTCAGCACTATTTCCCTATACCTCTAAAAGACTGTTCGGGGGAGCCGGGGCCCAAATATATGATTGACTCTTCCCCCTGGTGTCCCACCAGTGAGAAAAAGATAACAGTGGCAACCGACTTCCCAGGATGCTTGGAGAGTCCCTCTGGGTCATGACCTTCCCTGGGTCCCCTGGGTCCATGCTTTTCCTCCCAGAGTTTCCTGCTGTGACAATTGCCTTTCCAGAATTCTCTCAGGCTCCCCTGAGCCATGCATGGATGGGCCACCCTGGCTGGGCAGCGTGGTCTGGCTCCTGCCCACAGACTGTAGTGTTGTGGCCACTGGGCTCCTAGATTTGGGGACTTTAGGCTCTGGCATGTCATCCCTGGAAGCAGGGGGTCTCAGATCTCTCTCCTGGAAACCTGGGCCCCTAAGTAGGATGGAATGTTGGGGGAAGTGCTTCCTGGACTTGGAGCTTCTTGATAGACCTGGGCCCCCAGTTCCAGGGTAAGTCTGCCCCAGGGCTGCTTGTCAAGGCTGGATCTCAAAGTTCAGTGTTGTTCAGTGGGTCAGGCCCCAGCTGCCATTTGGAGGCTGCAATCTGATCTAATAAACTGTGCCTCGTTAGTTCCGATCGCGCAGCACTGAGGGGAGTGGAATGAGCATCCTTCAGGTGACTGACCCCCCTTAGCTCTACGGAAGACACAGGTGTCTTCTCAGTGACAGCTATCAGAAGCCCTCTGCCCTTCTCCGTTGGGCCTGCCCAGGGCTCACATCCCCCTCTCAGGGAGGTCCGAGGTGACTGAGGACGTGTACCTCACTCAGTCAATACCTATGGGTGTTGCTATTGTTACTGTTGTTATTGCATTGATATAAACCCTTAAATAGCCTGCTATTGCCTATTCATTCATTTTACTCAACAAGTATGCGTTTATGAAGTGTCTGCTCTGTGCCAGGCACTGGTCTAAGTTCCTGGTACGGCAGTGAACAAAATGGAATAAGTCCCTGCTCTTATGGAGCGTGGGTCATACAGGGGAGAGCATGCCTGGGGAGGGGATGACCCTCTGTAAGGGATGGTCAGGAGGGCCTCTCTGACAAAGGGACACTTGAGCACAGACTTCACTGAAGTGGAGGAGTGAGCCAGGTGGACATGGGGTGGGGGGGATCTTCCAGTAGAGGGGATGCTGAAGCCTGTGCGAAGGAGGAGCCCATCATCCTTGCCATCACCCATGTCTGCGTCCCCTGCACAGCCTTGCGCCAGCCAAACTACGCTGACTGCAGGTCCTGGTGCCCGGCTGCTTCCCCTGCTCCAACCCGTACTTCATGCCGCTCCCTCTACGTTTAGTGACCTCTCCCCCCACACACACACCCCTCTTTCAGTCTCACTCCCAGTGTCACCTCCCTTTGAAGCTTTACTTCCTTTCATAAGCCTCCTTTGGCTACCCCTGCTGCACACATACATTGCAAAAAAATATTTTTGCCTGTTTATGCCGTTGGAGTCCCTGGGTGGTGCAAACGGTTAATGCACTCAGCTGCTAACCAAAACTGTGGAGTTTTGAGTCCACCCAGAGGTGCCTTGGAAGAAAGGGAGTTTTGAGTCTACCCAGAGGTGCCTTGGAAGAAAGGCCTGGCAATCTACTTCCAGAAAATCAGCCACTGAAAACCCTATGGAGCACAGTTCTTCTCTGACACACATGGCATCTCCATGAGCCAGAATCAACTCGACAGCAAATGATAACCAAACCAAACCCATTGCTGTCGAGTCATTTCCGACCCATAGTGACTCTATAGGACAGAGTAGAACTGCCCCATAGGGTTTCCAAGGCTGTATTCTTTATGGACGTAGACTGCCAGCCACATCTTTCTCCCACAGAGTGGATGGTGGGTTTGAACCGCCAACCTTTTGGTTAGCAGGCAAGCGCTTAACTGCTGCACTACCAGGGCTCCTAGAAGTTGGTAGGTAGGTCGGTATTTATGCCTTCTTCCCTACTCAGGTGAGCAGGTCTGACTTGCCCCAGAGCCCTGCCGCAGCTCCACGTAAGTGCGCTTGGAGGGTGGTGGAACACAAAGAGCTTTTCTTCAAGCCACTTCTCCATCAGAGGCACGCAAGTGGACTTTGAGCATAAAGTCCCTGTCTAAACTCTCCCAGCCTTGGCAGAGGAGGGTGGTGTGGGAGCACATGCTGACCACTCCAGAAGCCAAGCGTAGGCTCAGAAGACGCTCCTCTAGCATCCTGCCTCCTCTCCCCACTGTGCCACATCCTTCCCTCTCCAAGATCCCCAGATCGACTGGCTTAAACCAAGAAATTTGTTGCTGTCACATCCATTCCTACTCGTAGCAACCATATAGGACAAAATAGAACTGCCGCATAGGGTTTCCAAGGCTATAATCTTTACGGAACCTTTCGGTTAGCAGCTGAGTGCTTAACCAATGCGCCACCAGGGCTCCTTCTTGACTGGCTTACCTGCCTCCAAAATTCTGCTGCTTTTGTGAGGAGTTTGGCGTCTGCTTCGTAGGCTGAGCAAATAAAACAAACCACCAAGGAGAGGAAGTGGGCGAGGCTGAGCCATCGCAACAGCAAGGGGACTGTAGGGAGGCAGGATTTAATCACAGCAGCTGAGCCGCAACAGACGCAGCGCTCAGCACCATGCTCAAGGAGTGGATGGCGCCCCTGAACCCCTGAGTCTTGGCAGGCACAGCTGTGCATCTCCCCTCGTCTCTTCTAAGCCTTGAACGCTGTCAGCACGGCCTCCTGCCCTAGTCTGGGGTCATCGTATAGGGGGAGGGCCCACCTGGATTTGTAGTAAGTGCAGAAGAGTTGGTTCTGTCTGGCCCGGACAAGGCTTGGTTAACAATAGGTGTGATCCATGGCCCTGTGGCAGGTCACTGGGGTCAGAGAGGGGTGGGGCTGCCAGCACCAGTGCCCCAAGTCCGCTTCTGTTTAGTGTCTCTCCTGCTAATGGTCCGGAAGGGAAAGCACATGCCGCCTTAATTAAATTCACAGCTAAAGTGCTACTGGAAGGTGGTGTGAGCACCAGGGAGACAACCACTGTGTAGAGAGAAGCTGGCAGAAATAGCTCAAGCAGGCTCCCCCTGGGAAAAGGCAGCCGGAGCTTGAGGACATGGAATCCAGCACCCGATGTCCCACAGACAGGAGGTGTCAGCATCTGCCTGCCTCACAGCTGCCCCGCCCTCCTGCATGGGTCAGAGAGCAGGGATCCAGCTGAAGAAACTGCTGGACTTGTCTTGGGATTGTCAAGGAAGTGGAAATGTGTTGTAGGGGCCAGGAGAAGAAGGGAAACTTGCTTCTCTGGCTTGAAGGAGAACAGTTTTCTCTTCTCCCTTCTCTCCTCTTGTGAAATGTGTACCTCTCCGTCCTCTGCCTTAAAACTGCCCCCTAAACCGTAGTCATGCCACCGCGGCTGGCTCTCGGTTGGCGCTGCTTACCCCCCCCCCCCGGGGTGCAAGCGTTTCCTTATCCACCCTGGGCATCTGGTGTAGGGAAGAAGCTGAGGCTTTGGATTTAGAAGACCAGGTGCTGGCACTGGTGCTGACAGGCCATAAGCCATTGGCCTCACTGCCCTCAGCTGTAAACTAGGGCCAGTGATGTCCGTTTCACAGTGCTGCCAGCTGTGAGGATTGCATGAGAGAATGACTATGATGGTGCTTCATAAGCTGTGAAGCTGCATGTTATATGAGCTGCTGGTGGACCACCTTTTGGTAGGACTTTTAAGTGATTGATTATGGTTGTTGGTTCCTGAGTCCTTTGTCCCTGGTGAGGCCAGGAGATGGCAGCTATGGCTGTCCTGCTTTTCAAAGAGGTGCGGGAGAAGTTGCTGACTGCCTGGGTGGTGCAAATGGTTAAGCACTGAGCTACTAACTGAAAGGTTGTTGGTTCGAATTCACTCAGAGGTGCCTCAGAAGAAAGTCCTGGCAATCTGCTTCTGAAAGATCACAGCCATTGAAAACCTTATGGGGCACTGAACAATTTGTGTAGAAATTGTTGAATGGGAACCTGCTGTGTAAACTTTCACTGAAAACAATAAAATATTATTAAAAATAAAAGAAGAAAAACCCTATGGGGCACAGTTCTACTCTGACACACATGGAGTCACCAGGAGTCAGAATCCACTTGATGGCAACTGGTTTTGTTTTGTTTTTTGGTAAATTGCTAAGGGGTGGCTGCAGACCTGTGCTTGCCCAGTGGGGATCTTGCTGAGGCCACCAGGGCAGGAAGAACCTCTCCTCTTGCTTCCCTGGGTGCTCTGTTGACCTGCTTCCATGATCAGCAGCTGGGGATCAGCCCAGGCCCCGGATTTGCAGGGTGGGCCTGCACAGCAGAGGAGCTGGAGGCTTCACTCTATCCTGCCTGTGTTCCTTGTCTTCACAGGTAAAGCCAGTGTCAGTTCTGCCAAGCCCAGCAATTGTGTGATTTCCTGAGCCACAGGACAGCGGTGGACAGGACCCATGGGTGCCCGAGACTGGCTGCCCACCCCCTGCCTCGTGGAGACCAGGACAGACCCTGCACCAGTTTGCACATTGGACCCCTGCCAGCCTGCTGCCTAGCAGCCTCCATCCTGGTCTCAGGGACCCCGAATCCCAGATAGGAGGGTCTTCAGCATCTCAAGACAATCACGCGCTCCATGAGACTGTCAGCCGGACAGGGCTCTCAGCCTCCTTGTTTACATGAAGTGGAAGCTTGAATAGTGTGCCCTCTCCTTTCTGCCCGAACCCCTCCCCACTGGGCCGGCCTTGCCCTGCAGCCCCCAACACGGGGTGAGGATCGGGTCTTCATGCCTTAATGGGATGGGCTCTCTGGGCAGCCCAGCTCCCTGACTCATCCTTCCCAGGGCTTCCTGGGGCTTCTGGTCCCTCTGAGAGGCTGATGGGATAAAAGGGAAGAGGACGGGGCTCGGAGCCAGGCTTCGAATTCCAGTCTTGCTCTAGGTGCGCTCGAGGTGGAAGATGCGGCTGGGGCACCTGCGGCTGAGGCCTTCCTGGTGCAGTCCCTGTAGGCTCCTACACGAGACACTGAGTAGAATGAGGGGAAGACACTGAAGCCACCCCCCAGCCAGTGGCAGGATCTGACACTGCCATTTTGAGAGCCCTCCTTCGAGGTCCCCTTCCCTCGTTTTGCATGGTCTTGGCATCTCAGCCCCCAGGGGTCCAGGCCTCTTTGGCTATTGTCTGCTGGAGGCCTTATGGTGCTCACCTGGGGCTGCCCACACCCTTACTATGCCTAAATCTGCCACCCAAGGCAAAGAGAGGGCTTAGCTGAGGCAGGGAGGGTGGTGCGTCGTGCAGGAGGCTGGGCCCTGTGGACAGGAGAATTTGCCCTATTCCCTGGGGACAGTCCTGGGTCCTCTTTGCCACCCAGGACTTCTGTGCCTTCCCTGTTACACTTCAGCCAAAGACTAGCCTTAGCCTCCTGCCAAAAGTCAGGCTGATGTGGGAGCCTCGGCCTCCTGCCGATCAGGTGGGCTGGCCTGATGCCATGATGGCCAGGGGACCAGCCAAAAAGCCCACACTGCCCGCTCCCCACTGTGTAACTAGTAGGGGCTGAGGGGAGTGAGTGAATGGACAACAGAGAAATGGCCAAACTGCAGTCTCTGTGAGCCAGAGCCAAGCAGGGGGATGGAGGGGCCAAAGTGCCCATGGAAGGACATGGGCTTTTCCAGCCTCTCACTTCTGAACCAAACCAAACTCCTGTGAAGCAGACGTGCCTTAGAGAAAGCAGGAAGTGGGGGCAGCACTTTGCGCTCCCTTGAGAAGACTCTGGTCACTCTGGGGTGGGCAGGGGGTGGGGGAGGGTGGGAGGTAGGAAGGGGAAGGAGGGGTGGACCTGAGTTCCAAAGCTCCTTTTCAGTTTTGAGGCGTGGGGGAGGGAGTGCAGACCCCAGCCCACCTCCCTGAGCTTCTGTGAGGATTAAATGCTCTCTGGGGTGTGCTTCCTGTGCACTAAGGCCTGGCCGTGTGGCTTATGCTTGTTCCGGAGAGGAAGGAAGGGAGACGGGTAACACCTCAGCTCCATCCGGTTCACCAGACCAGTCGTCACCTCGAGAGTCTGGAAGGTGTGGGGCTTGAGATGGGTACACTGCAATGGGGGAAAAGACTTCACCCTCCGTGTGGAGCGTGGACACCTCCAGGGACAGACAGGGAGGAGCCTCTGGGCAGGGAGCAGCTTCCAGGCAGTTCTGTGGAGGGCTTCTTAAGCACCTCCCCTGTGGGAGAAGCAGGCTTGCCTTATCCCTTTCCCGTCTCCTGACCTAGGGGGCCCCAGTCCCTCCCCTGCCCTGCCATCTAGGAGGATCCCAGATTGGAAGTCCAACTTACGGCAGCCTGGAGCCAGGCCTTCTGCCTCAATTTCTCCATGTGCCATGATGGAGTTACTCTTTTTCTTCACAGAAGTGAAGTGGGGAGGGGAGACCAGATGTTGAAGTGGAAGCAACAACGTGTTAGTGGGAAAGGTGCTGGCCTGCTAGGCAGGGCTCTCCCCTCCAGCCTCAGTCTCCTCATCTTTACAGAGGCTTGGGCAAGCTGGTCTCTGCCCCCTGGCCACCTCTGAAGTGTTAGCAGTAAGTATCCTGGGGAAGACACTGTCCTGCAAAGATTGCTGAAGATCTTGAAGTCATCAAGCACAGCTGCATTAGGAGCTTGTCTGCCAAGGCTCAGCCTCTTGGCGTCTCAGTTTTTAGTACCTCTACCCTCTGTTCCCATGCTTGCATACACTTTGTGAGACATTTTCTCCCTCATCAAATCTCAGGGGTACATCTGGCCCTCCGAGATGGATGGCAAGTTCAAGGGTGGATCATGCCCTTGGTCCTCTCACAGCAATCTCCATGAGGCTGGTGACATTGGAAGGGCTCCAGGAGGGACAGGAATGAGCCCCCAGTGCTCTCAGTGCCATGGTCTTGCTTTGCTGCCCCCGCTCCTTGTCCCCCAGCCCCCACCCCACCAAGCTGCTGCATTACTTGAAGGCCAGAGTTCAAGTCCAGCTTCTGCAGCTTAAGTGTAACAACTGGTGCTGCTGTTTTGCAAGGTTAGCCTCCCAGTGAGCAAAGGCACCTGAGGGCTGTGACGCCGTGGCTGCTGCCACCTTGGATTCTGCCCCAGAAACACAGGACTCCTGCACTGGGCTGGGAGCTTCCCCTTGAGGTTTGGCAATGCTGCCTGGTCTCCTGGTTAGCTCTCTGACCTCCAGGTACAGTTAGTCCTGTCCCTGACCCCTCACCAGTGCTTTTGACATAGCGCCTGCTAACGCTACACTATGCTATACCTCTACAGAACTTCACAGAAAGACTAGACAAAAAAGGAATCGACTCCACAACGTCAGAAATTTGGAAGAAACAGACCCGGAGGACGGGGAAGTAGCTTACCCAAGACACACAGCAAGTCATAGCAGTGGCAACAACTGAAGTTAAGAGGAAACTGGCTCTTTTTTACTACTCTCTGTTGCTTGTCTAAGGAGCCCTGCTGACGAAGTGGTTAAGCATTTGGCTTCTAACCCAAAGGTCAGCTGTTTAAATCCAACAGCTGCTAGCTCTGTGGGAGAAAGATGTAGCAGTTGGCTTCCATAAAGATTTACAGCCCTGGAAACCCTGTGGGGCAGTTCTACTCTGTCCAATGGGGCTGCTGTGGATCGATTTGACGGCAATGGGTTTTTGGTGGTTTTTGGATTTTTTTTTTTTAAATTGAGCACCTACTGTATGCCAGCCACCATGCTGGATGCTTTAGTCTCATGCAAGTTTCAACTAAGACGAGCTGATGAAAGCGCCCTTTACAAAGTTAACACAAAGTTTTGCTATATACTTTAGGATTGAGCCTTGTGAAGTTGTGTGATGCGCACAGCAGGTCTTCTCCCCATTTTTCAGATGAGAAGGTACCCAGCTCTCCCAGATTTCACATCACGTCAAATGCCAACTTGTGCCTGCTTCTCTAGCCCAGGGTTTCTTGACCTCAGCACTGTTGACACTTGGGGGGCCGGAGCACTCTTTGTTGAGGAAGGGGCTGTCCCATGCATTATGAGATGTTGGATAGCATCCCAGGCCTCTACCCACTAGGTGCCAATGACAGCCCTCCAGATGAGACAACCAAAAATGTCCCCAAACCTGTTGCCATCAAGTCGATTCTGACTCATGGCGACCCTATAGGACAGAGTAGAACTGCCCCATAGGGTTTCCAAGTAGTGGCTGGTAGATTCAAACTGCCAACCTTTTGGTTAGCAGCCAAGCTCTTAACCACTATGCCACCCGGGCTCCAAAAATGTCCTCAGACATTGCCAAATGTCCCCTGAAGGGGTCCAGCTGCTGGGGTTGAGAACTGTTGCTGTCAGCCCTGCAGTCCAAACGGTCGCTTCATGTGCCTCCACCTGGCAAAACAGTTGTCTGACAACACTTTGGCCCAGGGAGGTTGGCTGATTTGCCTAAGATTTCCCTTTCTGGGACATACGTGATAGAATCTTCCATCTCTGCTCTAGTTACCTTGCTTGGCTCTTCACTGTTTCGTACTCCCCAGAACTCCAGAACAGGTGTGTTTAAGTGCACACATCTGCCTCCTTCCACTCAACTCCCGGTCAGATTTCCTCCCAATCTGTTCCCTTCCTCCCATCTCGCTAAATCCTGCACAGAAAGCACTGATGGACGTACCCATGTGTGCCCAACAGTGTCCCCACCTCAAAGAGCAGCCGGAGCGGACAGCAGAGAGCCTGCACTCCTTATGTCGAGCCAAGCGGGACCCACTACCTGAGTGTCAGGATCAGGTTCTGAATCAATCTCAGCAGGGCCCCCCTCAGCAGCTAATTAGCCTCACTATGAGCGTGGTTGTATTTTATCATCTGGCGGTGCTCCGCCATCCTGCCTGCCTGCCCAGAGGACCCAGCGGCTGTCACTGTGAGTGTCTGCACTGCTGTTCCAGTGGCAGGGGATTTACTGCAGAATTGGAACCCTGGGCTCCTAAGCTGAGGCTGACCAAGGTAGAGCAGATGTGCACCTGAGGGGGAAGGGGCGTGGCAGGGGCAGGAGTGAGCGTGTTCCAAGGTTAAACAAGCGCTGAATCAGCTTGAAGTTTAGGCAGGCTTAGACTTCTCACCACTGCCGTTGGAAGCTTGGAAGGCCCAGCTTCCAGATACCTGCTCTGGCCGCATGCACTGTGGCCTGGCCTGCTACCTACTCTGTCCTTGGGGTTCCTGAACCCAAAGAGCAGGCTCTGTGAGGACAGGAGCCTTGTCTGTCTTGTTCCCTGTTGTATCCACATTGTCTGCTCAACACCTGTCTGTTAAATGATTAGAAACTTGACAGCCACTCAATACAGAAAATAAAACCAGTTGCTGTCAAGTCGATCCAACTCATGGGTGTCAGAGTAGAACTATGCTCCATAGGGTTTTCAGTGGCTGCTTTTTCGGAAGTAGACCACCAGGCCTTTCTTCTGGGTGGACTTGAACCTTTTGGTTAGCAGCCAAGTGCATTAACAATTTGTACCACCCAGGGATACAGAGAATAAGCCAGGCTAGTAAACTTGGAGCTTCCAGAATTGGTCATGATCCTTCCAGTCTTGTTCCTGACTTCTGAGACTGCATGGAAACCGATGGAATTCTGCCCTCTGCCAGTTAATCTCTTAAGGGCTGGACTTGTCAGAACTCTGTCCTGACCTAGTGCCTTGTTCT